CTTTAACTAAAAAAATATCGGAATCGGTAGACAGCGGAAATGCATCGTTGTGTGTCTTCATCGACCTAGCGAAGGCATTCGACACGGTCAGCCATGAAAAATTGTTAGCTAATTTAGAAAATATAGGATTTAGAGGAAAATCAATCAATCTCTTGCGTTCCTATCTGTGCCAAAGAAAGCAATTTGTTGTAATAAACGGAGCTGTCAGCAAAGTGAGAACCATAGAGTATGGAGTGCCATAAAGCACAGTGCTTGGACCTATACTCTTCAATATATATTTAAATAATTTATTTGAAGTTCCTACTAATGGACACATAATTAGCTTTGCTGACGACACAGTTATCTTTTATGATGCACCAACCTGGCGTATACTACAAAATAAAGTAGAAGAGGACTTGCCCCTAATATTTAGCTGGTTTCAAGAAAAATTATTAACTGTAAATTTTGAAAAAACTTTCTTCGTCCCATTTTCTTCTGATTCTTACAGTCTTCCTAGTTTTAAACAAATAATTATTAAAATGGATAATAACAGTACAACAAAGATATCATACACATCTCACATAAAGTATCTGGGAGTATATATAGACCAAAACATTAAGTGGGACGTACATATAAATTACGTTACAAAAAAACTCAGAATGTTACTTTATAAATTTAGATACTTGTCTCGAATTCTTTCTGTTAAGCAGATGATGATATTATATTACTCACTAATTGAATCACATCTCAGATTTGGAATTGTTGCTTGGGGTGGATCACTAAAAGCACATATGCATAGTCTAGAAATAACACAAAAAACTTTAATAAAAATTATTTATAAAAAACATTTTACCTACTCTACTGAAGAACTATTTGCAGAAACTCAGATATATGACATCCGTCAGCTGTTCTGTGAATGTCTATTACTCAGACAATTCCAAAATAAAGCTGAACTAAAACAAATTGAACATAAGTATAATACTCGGTTAAAAATAAATCAAACGTACCTACCTAAGGTGAAAAAATCAAATACTCAACGCAGTTTTTGGTATATCGGCCCAAAAATCTATAAAAGATTCCCTGGTGAAATAAAAAACGTGAACTCGAAATACTTGTTCAAAAAATTAGTTAAAAATTGGATTCATTCACAGTCAAGGAACGATATACACCAAATGATTGAAAACTATTACTTATATCCCTAGCTTTCTGCTTAACCTGTAACAAACAAAAATATTTGTATTTCTTTTTAGGATTAAGTATAATATGTATATGTATATTTTTTTTTGTTAATGTGCTATTGTTTGTATCCACAACTTCCAGTTCAACCCTTAACATTTTTTTTCCTTTTTAGTATATAAGAAATAATTGTATTTTATTATTTAATAATGCATGCAATTAAAATAAACAACTAATCAGCCAGCCATAAATAGATTCTTACCTTTCACGTACAGGGCTTTCCTTGTGGAGTGTAAGATATCTAAGGAGGCGTTAATATTCTTTAAAAAAAATATCCATGCCACATTTGCTTATGTGGTCGTCACATGTTTATTGACACACTGTATTTTGAAACTGTTTTTTTTTATTGTAAATTTATTGATGTAAATAAACATTATATTATTATATTATTATTAATAATATAATTTTTTCTGGTTAATCGAATCGGTACGCATTTGATTGTTTTAAGGTTACTGTGATTTTGATATTTTGTGAACCTTTTGAGATATCTGCTAACTGAATTTGAAAACGTGATTTTCAAAAATGATACATTCGAAGTAACCTTTAAACTATGGATGACAAACAAACAAATAAATATTCAGTGGATTTTAGGACTTCTAAACCAACAAGATTAAAATATCCATTTATTAAGGTAAATAATAGGATAGAACTTTAAATATACCTAATGTTTAATATTAAAATCAAATTTTACATATTAGTCTTGTTTTTGGTATAAGTAATTAATTTCTCAGTTTGAAATTTTGAAATTTGCTATTATTTCAAAAATGATTGCAATTTATAATTACGATACATACTAAACATAATCATACTCTTGAAACAGCTGAGACACTTCGATTTCTTCAAGCCAAGCCATATGTTAATGATTTGTTTATGAATATTTTAATGATAGTAAGATCGTGAGTATGACAATAACAGAAGCAAAGAAAGTTTATAAATTTGATGAGCATATGGTATTGATTTTAGCCAGTGGAAGTAAAAATCCTACTTACAGAATGGTGCAAAATTGGTATCATTCATGGAGAAATTTAAACTTGGGATCAAGGTCAGGAGAAGGGTTAATCAAGGTTACTGTTTCACCCTGTATATCTTATAAGGCTTCTTATTGTTTTATTAAAAGAGGCGTTAAATACTTTTCCAGTGAGTGTTCGTTTTATCCCAATTTCATCAAACACTTTATAATTCTTCATCTTTGATATATCTAAATGAACAGTACGAGCGGAAACTAAATCGGTTGAGATGCCAGAAGACGTTAACTCACTTGAAAATTCACCGTATGTCTCAAGACGTTGCCTATTCTCTAAACAGAAATCGCGAAGCTCGTATAATTATTTTCCGTACGACTGACAAAGTTATCCCGAGGGAACCGTATGCATTATTGAGGGAATATAAGGGTGTTCTCACGCATTGCTAGTTGACAAAACGAAAAGGAAGGAAAAGGTTATGTCGAGCTTTGTGGCAGGAAGGAATAGCAGGATATTATAGTCTAGGATTTTTAGAAAAAATCAGAGATAATCATGAAATATACAGATATTAAATGTAATATTTAAATATTTTAATTAAATAAAATAGTAGATGAAATAATATAGTTTCATGGCGATTTTGATTATATATTTATTTCGGATCAATTTCGTTTACATTTATTAAATACTCGAAGAAGGAAATTATGCGAAAAATTTGATAATATTTAAATACGTATTCTTCTTGAAATAGACAATAGACAATCTCAAATTAATAAGGTCCATTCCTGGGTTGCTGTTGTTGGTTTTTATATACCAGTTCCTTTGTTGTGCCGAATAAAGAAACAATATCTTTACCTTGAACGGTGCACCTGAACTGCGGAAAAGATAATCTGGTTCTATAATCCGACACTCGAACTGCGGAAACAAAATAGTTTGACCTGGTCTGTATAATCTAAAACACCTGAACTGTGGAAACTAGTCTGCGAAATAATGGTAGCGTATGGAAAGAAAAAAACGACCAGATACAATCTGAAAATCAATTTTATTTAATAATGAAATATGTAAACAGTACATTAGAGTGAAACAATACTACCAAATTTGTAAGAGATACACTTTAGGAAGTCATACCTATTTATTTGATTATTATTGCAAAATTTTAGATTCAATATATTTTTGTTTATTTCAAACTTCGCTTCTCTGTAACCTCTTCTCATGTGAGTTAATTCTTATATAGGTGTCGGTCTGCATATTAGTTACCGATTTTAAAAAATATTAATATTTGGATGTGGAGAGGGAAAATAGGCACCAAATTTGGAGTTAAATGACTCGGATGGATTGGTATTTCTATGAGTAGAAGAAGTTTTAGCTGCCCATATTTTGATTGGAAACATAAAGTTAGTATTTATATATTGTGTCTTTCATGATTTGCCTTCTCGGCCATTAAATCTTCAACAAATGAGATCTTTTTATTCTGTGCTCAAACCAAGTTGTTGTATTTTGCGCCACCTTAAAAACGTTCATTATTTTACCAGTTATGAAAAGAAATCAACTAAAAATAAACCTTTTTTGGCTTTAAAATCAATGCAATATTAAAATCAACATTCTAACTTTTCCCACGTGTCTGATAAAATAATAAATAAATGTCGTCTGAAAAACCAAACTTATAAAGAATAGTCTATTTAACCCACATACCGTTTTTGCAGTTCTAGTTAGAGATTAAATCCCTCTTTTATTACCTTTATAACTGTCCCATGCGTCCACTTTGAATTATACTAATGTAAATTCTGAGATTAAAGTGAATGACATAACTTGATACAATTATTATCTGAATAATCTAAATATGACATTTAAATAATGCAAATTTTGGAAAAATATTTAAAATATATCATAAAAAATAGTTTAAATCAACTAACAACAATATATGCTCTTAGCACAAATCAAAATCAAATCAAGTATTACTAACTCTATGATGGAAAAATAGAAAATCTAGTAGCAAATTTTATAGTTGATAGGCATTGAGTTTGTTAGAATGGTTGCTTCCATTTTTTGGATTTTTGAAACAACATGTGACAAATTTTGATCTATAATTACAAAAAGATATTTTATTACCAATTATCGATTTAATTCAACGTCAATTGCATACAAGAGTTATATAGGGATATAAGCTAGTTATGATAACACAATCATAGGGAACACAAGTAGAAATATGCAGACGCGGCAAGTCCAAGATAAGGCCCCACCAAGATCTAGCGGCAACAAAACTAGTTCGTTGCCGGCATTTTCTAGCTTTTACATTTTAACTTTTGTATCATTAAGACCTAAAATAAAGTTCCGCTTTTTGTAAAGTTTTTGATATTTTTTAAAAAACCAATTTTTAATAGCGAACCTAAAAGTGGCGCAGTCAGTAGGATTGCCTAACGGTGTGACAACAAAAATCGTGTCAAATCGGTCTATTTTAATAGTTTAACGGCAAATCGAATTCGCGAAAATTGGTAAAATAAACTGAGCAAAAAGTGTACAGCCAAGCATAGGACCAACATTGCCGAAGTTTGGAGAACCTGGACGAGGACCATATCGCCAAATCCAGCTAGTTTAAGAACCTGGACGAGGACCACATCGCCAAATCCAGCTAGTTTTAAGAAAATCAGGGAGAACAGACAGCATCGCTTGACCCCGTTGATATGACGAAAATAATCCTAGGAATTGCGTAAGAAATTTTGCTCTCCTTTTATTTTAAACATTTCATATCTTGAGTTGAATATATTAGTGATTTTTAATTTTCATTTTTGGGATAAAATAAATCATTGAGAGAATTTATTACATTTTATGTCTGAAATAGACGAATTAGTGAATATTTTTAATAGTACTCTAAGGACAGATTCCTCATTAAATTTAGATAATTTACCTCCTATAAAAGAATCAGATTCAGAAAGTTCAGATTCAGAAAGTTCAGATTCAGAAAGTTCAGATTCAAATATGGTAGATAAAACTAATTATCCACTTTTGCAATTATATGTAGACACTATTCCAAATTTTGATGGGAACCCCCATATATTAACTGTATTTTTAGATGCTTGTGAAAGTTTGATTGGACAATTTTCTGATCGGCAAAATAATGCCGCTACAATTAATGCTTATATTTTAAGAGCTATTATTGGCAAATTAACCGGGAGAGCTTTGAGTTTAATAGGCTCCCGTAGTGAATTAACTGTTTGGATAGATATAAAAAATTTATTAATATTAAGCTTTGGTGATCAGAGAAATTTAGATTGTCATGTACAAGACTTGATTGCTTTACATCCTTTTAAAAATGAACCCCCATGTCGTTTTGGTATGCGTTGCCAAGACTCTAGAAGTTTAATTGTATCTAAAATAAATGCGTCAAATTTTTCGCCTGAAGAAAAACGTATTAGACTTCAAAATTATAACGATTTAGCTCTTAAAACATTTATTCACGGCCTCACAGGTCAATTACAAAATAATGTTCGTTTACGAAACCCAGATAGTTTAGAACAAGCAATGGCATTTGTAGTCGAAGAAGAAAATTTTCTTTATAGTTCACAAAAATCAAATTTTTCAGATTCTCAAAATTATAGACCTGTAAATAACAGAAATAACTATTCAAAACCCCAGCAGCAAAGGCAACCATCACAGCCATTACAAAAACCTTTTTATTCTAATAATTTTAACAGATTTCATTCAAACTTTAATAATTTTCCAAGACAAAATAATCAGAACTTTCAGAATCAAAATCAATTCGTTCAGAGACCCCAGTTTAACCAATCAAATAATTTCAATAATCAAAATTTCAATCGAAATTCAAATAATTTCAAAAATCCAAATTTTGGTCAATATTCGACTAATTTCAACCGAAATAGTCAAATTTCAAGAAATACGAATTTTAATAATAGATCAAATAGTATCCCAGAGCCAATGGATACGTCATCTGGAAATACGCGTATAAATAATCATAACCTTTACTTGCAAAATTCTGATCAAATAGAAAATCAATTCGAAAATTCATTCAATAATCAAAATAATAACGGTGAATACCAGTTCCAAGAAAATAATGATTTATCAACATTTAACACAACTTACGACAATAACAGTCCTTATCAAAAACAAGACATTAAAACGAATCCAACACAGCTGACATATTTCCATGAACCCTCTCAAGGTCCGTCTTATGATACTTTTGATAACCAAGTTTCAAATTTTCGCGTGGGAGCTCTAACACAAAGAGAAACGTAATTAATCTGAACTTAGTAAGATCAAATTTACCTTATATTTTTATACCAGAAATAAACGCATGCTTTTTAATTGACACTGGCAGCAGTAGAAGTTTAATGAACCCTAGATTAGGTTACATATTTTATAAGAACTATATTTTTAATGAAGATTTTAACATACAAACAGCGCATAGTATAAGTTTTCATAACGAAGTAATAGAAATTCCTGTTTTTAAAATTTTTAACGTAAATGCTAAGCACAAATTTTATCTTTTTGATTTTAGTAAAAAATACGATGGTCTCATAGGAATCGACCTTCTTAAACAATTAAACGCATCAGTCAATTTACACCAAAAACTAATTATTACCCCAACAGTGCAAATACCAATTATTTATGAATCTGAAGATTTAACCAATTTCAAAAACAAACTAAAATTAGAAAATTATAAAATAGTAGTCCCCGAAAGGACGACAAAAATAGTTAAGTTACCAGTAAATATTAAATCAGGAATAGGATGCATGGATTATATTAAATTTGATAATCAGTTGGAATCCCCACAATCTTTAGTAAATATAGAAGATTATTTTATAATTACGTCAGTAACTAATTCCAGTACTGAGCCAAAAATAATTACAATATCGAGACCCTTTGACATAGAACAATTGAATATTAATGAAATAAATTTTATAGAAAAAATGGAAACTGATGAAATATTTACAGATAATCATGATAGAATTTTAAAAGAAAATTTAAAACAAATTAGGCTAGATCATTGCAACCAGGAAGAAAGTGATGCAATAAAAAACCTCTGCCTCGAATACAGAGATATTTTCTATTGTGAAAACATTCCTTTGACTTTTTCAAATACAATTAAACACAAAATAAACCTTACAGACGAAAGCCCCATTTACACTAGACAATATCGATATCCGCAAATTTACAAAGACGAAGTAAAATCACAAATTGAAAAAATGCTTTCTCAGGGCATCATACAGCCTTCATCGTCCCCATTTAGTAGCCCCCTCTGGGTAGTTGAGAAACGTCAAGACGCCTCTAAAAAACGTAAATACCGTTTAGTCTTAGACTATCGAAAATTAAATGAAAAGACAGTAGACGACAAATACCCCCTACCTAACATAAATGACATTTTGGACAAATTGGGCAAAAGTCAATATTTTAGTACACTCGACTTAGCTAATGGATTCCACCAAATACAAATGGACGAAAATGACATTCAAAAGACAGCTTTCTCTACCGAACACGGTCATTACGAGTTTACGAGAATGCCTTTTGGGCTTAAGAATGCTCCAAGCACTTTTCAAAGAGTTATGGACAACATTCTTAGGGGCTTACAAAATGAAACTTGTTTGGTATACCTCGACGATATTGTAATATTCAGTACATCTCTTCAAGAACATATGTTACGACTTAGACAAATTTTTGATAGACTTAGGGATGCTAACTTTAAACTACAGCTGGACAAATCAGAATTTTTACGTAAGGAAGTAAACTATTTAGGACATGTCATAACCCCATTAGGTGTGAAACCAAACCCAGAAAAGATATCTGCAGTAAAAAAATTTCCGATACCTAAAACTACTAAGGAAATAAAGGGTTTCCTAGGGTTAGTCGGATATTATCGTAAATTTATTCAAGATTTCGCAAAAATTACAAAACCTCTGACTAAGTGCCTAAAAAAGGGTGCTCAAATTATTCATGATCAAGATTTTATAAACGCTTTTGAAACTTGTAAAAACTTATTAACTAACGCACCGATTCTTCAATATCCAGACTTTTCAAAAAAATTTATTTTAACTACAGATGCTTCAAATGTAGCTTTAGGTGCTATTTTATCTCAAGGGCCTATAGGCTCTGATAAGCCAATTGCGTATGCCTCTCGAACACTCAATGATTCAGAGCAACGTTATAGCACAATAGAGAAAGAGTTATTAGCGATTGTATGGGCATGCAAGATGTTCCGATCTTATTTATTCGGAAGAAAATTTTCTGTTGTAACAGATCACCGCAGTCTTGTTTGGCTTTTTAAATTGCGCGAGCCAAATTCAAAATTAGTTAGGTGGCGGCTCAAACTCGAAGAGTTTGATTATGACGTTATATATAAAAAAGGCAAGGCAAATACTAATGCTGACGCTCTATCAAGAATTTCTATAAATGCTCTAGAAAACGAATCACTTATTAATAACCCTGGAGACATTGACAATGAAACCCTACGATTTCTTAGACGTTTATCTGAAAACCCAGTAGAAGACGACAATCTCGACAATAGTACCTCTAACCAATCTAAAATTAAAATATTATCAGACGTACAAGTTAAACCTCCTGACGAACCATCAGGAAATGACAGTTTTCAATCAACCCAGCATACGACAGCTAACGAAACTACCAACGACGGAATAAAAATACTCGATGAAATAATAAATAACAAAATTAATCAAATCCTAGTTTTTGGCCAAATTTATCATAAATTAACTATCAAACAAGAGAATTACGAAAACCATAAAATTATTACTGTCGAAATTCCTTCAGAAAATAACGAAGAATTAATTCTTGAATTTCTAAAAGATTACACTACTCATAATAAAACCTATTGCATGTATTTTCACACTGATAAGCTATACAAATGTTTCAATGAAGTATATTTAAAACACTTCTCAGAAAAAGGTCCAAAACTAATTAAATGTACTAAATTAGTTAATACCGTAACTGATAAAGAAGACCAAATTTTACTCATAAAAAATCACCATGAAAGCAAGACAAATCATAGGGGAATTTCCGAGACTATAGAACGACTAAAGAAAAATTATTATTGGATAGGAATCAAAGATTCTGTTACAAATTTTATTAATTCATGTGATATTTGTCAAAAAACTAAATACGCTAGGAAAAATCCTTATTCACCTCTAATGATAACAGAAACGGCATCAAAACCATTTCAAATTGTACATGTCGACTTATTCTTTTTTGATAAAAAAATATATTTGACTATTGTTGATTCTTTTACTAAATTCGCGCAGGCTCAAGAAGTAATAGGTAAAACCGCGATTCACATAAGTAACGGTCTAATTAAATATTTTGCATCTTTTGGTGTTCCAGAAAAATTAATTATAGACAATGGAACAGAATTTAATAATGAAGTTATACAGGAAATTTTAAAATTACATAAAATTAAAATACATTTCACAACAGTTGGTCACCATGAAAGTAACGCTATTGTGGAACGATTTCATTCATCAATAATAGAACACCTAAGAATACTTAAATCAATGTACCCAAATGATATCGAAAATATTATGAACTATGCTATATTAGGATATAATAGTAGTATTCATAGTGCTACAAATTTTACGCCATTCGAATTAACCTTTGGCCATACACATTCGAGAAATCCAAATGAAATATTTTTGCCTGCTACATTTTATTCAGATTATGCCGAAAATCATAAACTAAAATTGGAATATGTTTATAAAAATGTTAAAGAAAAACTTGAATCAAAAAAGGAAAAGTTAGTTTCTAAACTCAATAGCCAAGGAGATTCGAACGAAGAATTCCAAGTAGGCTTAACTGTTTACAAACAAAATTCTCAATATAGAAATAAAAAAGACAATAAATTTTTAGGTCCTTATACATTAACAAAATTATTAGATAAAAATAGAGTCGAAATTACTAATCAACAGAACAATAAATCAGAAATAATTCACATTAAAGAACTTAAAAAACCTTTCGTTACAGGTTCCTCGCAACCATCAACTTCACAAACTGCAAACTGACTCAACCAACATTCCATAATATTACCGACAATCCTGGACTTTTAACTCTTAAATTAGGAAAGACTCAAAACATAATTGACTACTGGTCATTTGTAAGAATTTTCGACATTTCCAAAGTAATAGACGAATTTAAGTCACTACAAGCCAAATTTTCCGACCTACAAACGATAACAAAAAATAAACTTATAAACCAGACCAAGTCAGATTCTGAGGACATCTTTGTTACATTTCAAATAGTAACCATATTAGAAAATAAAATTATTACCCAAATTAATCAATTAAACCCATCACTTGAACAAACCCATAGGAAAAAACGTGGACTTCTTAATGGTTTAGGTACAATAATTAAATCAATATCTGGAAATTTAGATCAAAACGACGCAGAAAAATATGACAAAGCCATAGAAAATCTTTCGAAAAATCAAAATAAGATGAAATCTTTAATTAATGAACAAATTACCTTAGTTGAAAATTCTTTAGACATATTTAATAAAAGTAGTCAAGTCTTAGCTCACAATCAACTAAAATTAAAATCTCAAATAAACAAAATAGAACACATTTTAGAAACCGCTCAAATCCAAAATAAACAAACTTTTGAAAGTGTCTATATTCAAGAAGTCACAAATCAAATATCAATTTTATATCAAAATATTTACGATTTACTAGAAAAAATTGAAACTGCTATCACATTTTCCAAAATAAATGTTTTTCATAATTCGATAATAGATCCTAAAGATTTGATCAACCATATTAAATTAATCAATAACAATTTATTAAACAACAAATTACCATTTGAACCAATTTTAAACAATATACTTAAATTCGAAAAAATAATGCAAATTAAAAGTTATAGTAAAAACAATAAAATTATTTTTATCATAGAAATCCCAATTGTGGAGAGAGAAAATTACGATTTATATCAACTTTTCCCTTTACCTACTCCTAAAAGCAACCTTTTCCAAATGATTATTCCAAATTCGAAATTCCTTATCCTAAACGAGCAAAATTTCATGTCATTTGACTCAGAATGTCAAGAAATTAGTAACCAAGAGTTTATCTGTCACGAATCAGTACCAACTCCAGTAGAAGAAGACGCCCCCTGCGAAGTTTCATTGTTGAGGTTTTCCAAGAACCTCACCAACTGCCAAACCATCCCTCTCGACATTGTGGACTTAAAAATTCAAAAAATTCGTGAAAATAAATGGATGATCATCTCACCTCAAAACACAGTGG